CCCCCCCTCCCCCTCGATTCGGGTATATGACACTTATCGGAGTGGTTGGTCCTATTCCATTTAAATCCGACTGACATTCTCAATTTTAAATGCTCCAAAGTGTTAAATGTAATACGAGCATATTTAACTTTACTGCGTGCCAATATTGGACCTCTCAACCCTTAGCTCAACTAGTGGATAATGAGAACTCATGTGAAGCTGGATGTAATGTCGGGCCGAGCTGAAAACGTGAACCTTATAGAATGAGTTCTCTCGCTACCCTTGTTCCATAAGACTACATCCCTACAATTTCTGACCTAACAGGAGTTCCTGACGAGGTGTAAATGCTATCTAGGTACTGTTAACCTCATGCTCACACTTTTATAACAGTTTTGAATAACTGTTTAAATAGAACAGCTTTTCATATACCTTCCTCCGAATTATTACCAACCTGAAAGCTTCTCGGACCACTTCAAACGCATCGTCAACTTCGCCGTCCACATGTGGTTCAGTGGCTTCACTGCGATAAAGGCATAGCTGCACGACGTATGCTGTGAGAGCAACTACAGTGACCCATTTCAGCACCTTTCGATACACCAAACCTTAAAAGTCATTGTTAGGCGGTGATAATATTACGGAACAAATAGGCACTGATGAACTTAAGAAGCTCCATGGGCCGAATTTTTGCCGTGAAAAAAAATCAAAACTACAGAAGACATGTCAAAAACGCTGAGCACATTCAGGGTTTTTTGGTTTTCAAGGTTACTTAATCATTAAAAATAGTCCCCATCTTAGCGCGTCGGAACTCTGAAATAAAGTCCTAGTAGCTGCTCACTCCACCCTTTGAAGCAGGATTTTGNACAGCGACCCATTTCAGCACCTTTCGATACACCAAACCTTAAAAGTCATTGTTAGGCGGTGATAATATTACGGAACAAATAGGCACTGATGAACTTGAGAAGCTCCATGGGCCGAATTTTTGCCGTGAAAAAAAATCAAAACTTCAGAAGACATGTCAAAAACGCTGAGCACATTCAGGGGAATTTTTTGGTTTTCAAGGTTACTTAATCATTAAAAATAGTCCCTATCTTAGCGCGTCGGAACTCTGAAATAAAGTCCTAGTAGCTGCTCACTCCACCCTTTGAAGCAGGATTTTGAGAGAGAAAAAACCCGAGCTCCCTAAGTAAACACCATAAGTGAACTTTTAAAACTCAGTAGTTACTCAACAAAACTCCAGCAAGGTGGAGGAGCAAAGATAGTGATATAGGGAACCCTCAGACTCACAACTGGTGGACATAAGCACATTTGGCTAGTCATAGAGGAAAAGAGTCTAGTGGACAATTAATAAGGTAGACTACATAACAACCTTACCCGAATGGAGCAAATACCCATACCTCCCATATCTCTCCTTCACTGTCTTTTCTTCGACCGGCCAAAAAGACGTCTTTGTTCGTGGGCCCTAAATAGGCACCCAGCTGCCCTACCTCTGAAAATGTGAAAATATCGTATCCGATATTACAAAAAGCGATTCGCTTAACGAACATCATGGAATTCGTTCGAGTTTACAGACTTTGGCTTCCCCACTTGATCCATTATTGCCATCTAAGCTCCAGACACGTACATCACTGTCATCGCTGATAGAGATTGTATCTAAACTATGTAGGAAGATCTGGTGCTACTTGGGAGATCAGGTGACAAATCTTCCGTTGATAGGTTTCGGCTCATCTCTTCAGAGTCACTATTTTAATCTAGACTGTTCAGTCGACTGTTTTATAATAAATATGAATAGAGAAAGTGGTAAACGTTCAGGGTCAAGATGTATGGTTCTAATGCATCGTAAAAAGGCCATGCGTTCAGTGGCGTCCAATGCACTACATTAACTCTGATGCTAAATAAAAGGGTAAAGGATAATATTTGTCTTCAATTAACCACGTTTTCAGTATTTGCCCCGAATTCGCCTACTACATAAAGTCGTAAATTCGGCCCGAATGTCTTCTTGACCTATGCAACGACTTACGGAGGCCAACCAATCTTCACGTTTAAGACTTTACCCCTCCAGACGAGTCTGGTACCTACTGACGACTTTGAAGGAACGGGATGCCTGGTCGGCCTAGGCGGCACGAAACCAGGATTCGATCCCCGGGCCTTACAACTGGCAACACCTATGCTTCCGATGTCAAATATTGGTATGAAGTATGGTGAAATCTATTTTCCTAACGCAGCTGTAGAGATAATGGTGTGCCCGTAGAAAACAAGGACCTCGTCGAGCATCCACGGATCTATTAATGTGGAAGCAAGTAGGACCCAATGCCCCCACGGAAAATTAATTCGGAAACATGTTAGCATCGATTTTCAAAGACCTTAATTTGGCTATGAAACTTTGGTTCTGTACTAGATCTTTCCACAATTCATTCACTGGCCTGCGAGATGACTTCGCAAAATTGTTTGGCTGCTGACCTCTCTTTCCGACTGAGATGGACTGATATGGATTCCATGAATTAATAATTTTGTTACATTCTAAAATGTGAGAAAATTGAAAAAAGGGGAAAACTTCAAGTAAACATAAGATATGCAATGCTGTATGGCGTGAAAATCGAAGTATCAATGGATTATGAAAAAGTCTATTACAATGTGGCAAGCTCTCACTTTGCCAACTCACCAGCAAGCCCTGAAGTTAAAAATGACTGATCTTCCTTCATCCAGATATGATATGATATGATATGATCTGGTACGATTATATAATGTAATATACCTGTATACGTATCTTCTGAAGCACACGTATGGTAATGTAATTTCAGTTTTTATGTTTCGTCTTGCTATTTTAAAATATGCAGTTGTAATAAATTAATGAATATCCGACTTATCGATCGAATTTAGTCTGGCAGAGAAGTCAGCAGTCATTCGATTGAACGAGGTCGCCCCACACTAATAGGCACTTTTAAAGTACAGCGGCAAGTGTAAATGACGCGACAGCGTAGGCGCTTGACGCTGTACTCTGAAAAGGTGCTTTCAGAGTTCAACGACGTGCCTTGTTTCAGCGCCCGACCAACTGACGGGGTTGCAGACCACTTGTTGATAACCTGGAAACCGATCGATCGATACGCCCTGAACGCAATCTGTTGAACTCTGAAAGCACCCAGAGATGCCAGCGAGAGGAGGTCCTCAGTTAATTTAGAACTTCTATCCTAAGTTTCTCTAAGTTTCTATCGTTGTGCTTCGTCTATCTTGAGCTGGGGGGAAGGGGGAAGGGGGGAGGGTCTGAGTTGGAATCTTACAATCACACTATAAGCCATAAATAGAACAAAACATATGATTAGCAACAACAACAAAAACAAAAGCATAAACCGACATTTGAGAACAAACAAAATCGCTCTTTATACTCGGCTTATATTAGGGGTCATAGCAGGGTAAATACCTGCAAATGTGTTTCTGTTGTTGATAACACGATAAATTCCATATCACTATGTCTCTCCATCTTTTCGATGCTATTTTCAGTAAAAAGACTACGTTTATATCTTATCAGAGGTAATGTCCAGTCTCGACTGTCATGTGTTAGCCAGGACATTGGGCGGAGACAGTTCTAACTAATGTGGGTGCACTCGTTAGCCTTACAACTCCAGTCCCACTACTTTGTTTTGATTGAGTTGTCAACTCCAAAGATAATTCCTAGGGACATCGTTGCGAAAACTTTCCTTTGCAAGGACTTCGGTTTTGATAGGGGTCAACATTTTTGCGTAGTAGTTCCCAAGGAGAGGGGATTGTAAAAAATATACAGTATGGTAAGGTAAAGCTTAAAAGTATCTACAAAAGTCAAAATAGAAAAAAAGAAACGCTGATGTCTAGGAGCCTCAAAAAACAACATTGCCTTCCTGGAAAAAAGGTGAACCCATGGGAGCTCAACTTCCAAAAATGTAACGAAATATCAAATTATAAACAGGCTTATCATAAATACGAGAAAACGTCAAGAGAAGAATGTGGCCGATGGTGGCATCCATGTTGGTTCTTATCACTTACGCTTTCGTTTGGCGGCCGCTGCGATCCTGCATATAGGGAATTACTTTCCATAGCATTCCAAAAGTGACCTTTGCCAGAAAATTTCTGTCCATAAAGACCTGATTGCATTTCCGAAGTCTCGAAACCATAGCGGTAGCTACAGCGCTTCTGTCCAGCATCGGTTCGTACCCGTGGCTTCGATGTTCCCAGAAAGGAGAACGTGACAGTGAACTATTATGATAGATGAGCAGCATGAGAAAACGAAAAAATTTCAATCCCATGGCTCAAAGTCAAAAGATGACTCCAACTGGACATATTCAGTTACTCGTATTCAATACCGATCGCAACTACCCACTTTTTTATTGGAAGAGAAAACTAATATAACTGTACTGTCTTTAATGAAATTGCAATTTCGCTGCCGAGGCTAGGTCATAGGTTTTTAGCTCCTCCCCATAAAGAAACCCTACCGTTGGAGCCACTGATGCGCCATTATTAACCATTTTTTGTAGTTATTTTGTAATCTACTGGGTCCAACCAACCACTCGACTCAGGTGCGCTCAAATTCTTGAAAGTCATTCCTCGGCCTAGATGATACATACAAGAGAGTAAACAATGAACAGAAGTGCCCATGTGACGTGAGAACACTACTCTTATCTACGTTCCATAAAGAGATCGTTATAACTTTTTTATGAAAGTCGTTTATCGAATGAGAAACACTTACTAGTTGTTCATAATAAACATTCAATGCGCTGGAGAGATACGAGGAAACCACTGAGAAAACGGATTTTTGAGCTGTGTCAATGGACCAACGTTATCGAAGGAAAAGGTGGTTCTAGGATACTATTGATACAGGGCGTAATGAGGAACATTTTGTTGGAATTTTGATCGTTCTTGTCCTCCTTTACAAAACAGTGTGCGCCTAACTGAGCGAAAATGCGCCTTTCTATGGGCTGCCAACGCGGCTTGGAAAGATTGAAGAAAACCACATGATAATAACAACGAACAACAAACTAACAAGAAGGTACGCATTGCATAATCATGAATGTCCAAGTGCACAACACAAATTATCTAGAACATTTATTGTTAGTACATTAGTTGATAACTTAAAACATAAAAAAGAATGATCCCCTTGATCTATCTACAGTTACGAGTACAAGAAAGAAATAAAACATACAATATGAGAACAAACCTAGACTAGTAAATGTCCTACGAAATAATTTGAAAAGTACAGCCTAGATTGTCGAAATCAGTCAAATTACCAGGTCGAATCATTCACTGGGCGTCTAAATGCTTACATGGCGAATAAAATCAGGAAAAGGCATCTATTTCAAAAATGACTGCTTAAGCTACAGCAGGAGATGGCTTTTTGATATTAGGGTCTTCATAAGTTGATCCGAACAGGGTAACTCCAGCTACAAGAGCTGTTACTGTGAAAAACTGAGCAATGATTCTGTAACGCATATACTTCTGCGCACCAAGTTTGTCCCCCACGAAAGAAGATCTGAAAAAGGAGAGGTGTCTACTACAAATTGAAAAAGAAAGTCCAACGCAAACTCACTTGAACATGCCCAGCAGAGCAAGGGTAGTAAGACCCATTCCAAGAATTACGCCGGGATTGCTTGTTGCTTGGGAAATGACACCACTTTTCTTCTTACCTCCGATATCTTTTCCACTGTCGTATCCAATATCAGTAGGAATAGCAGGAATCTATGAAAGAATAAAAGGATAAAAGGATAAAGTTTTTTGGCGTTAATCAATCCCGTCAGGGGATGCGCCCCCGCACTCGACTTCCATTCAGAATCGTAGTGGCGTAATGAGTGCGTATGTGGCCTATACAATGACTTGCGGTGGCCAGCCGATGTACAAGTCAGTGCTTTTATCCTCCCAGACGAGTCTGGTACCAATTCACCGACCCCGGAGGGATGGAAGGCTTGGTTGGCCTAGGCGGGCATCGATCCGGGATTCGAACTCCTGACCGTGCGTGTGATATAGTGCGCCACTTGCCACTACACCACCTCCGCCCTCTATGAAAGAATAATATGTACAATTATGAAGGGAAACGCAGAAACTTTGGCAAGCTTTTAAAAGTGCTGGGTGTGTGAAACTTCAACTGTGGGCCAAACTTCCAAACGCTGAGACAACATTGGGAGATCGATTAAGCTTTGATCATGTGCGAACTATATAACTGAACAACAAAAATATATTTTGTCTGTGATATTCTAAGCAACACCTTACGCTTTTCCACTTAATGAATTTATAGTGTTTATCAAGAGGAAACAAGGAAGAATTTAGCCTTGGTTGGTCAGAGGCAAAACCAGCATGTTATGAGGAACCTTTTGTGATGTGAAGTACTTAAAGATGTTTTCGTTCCAAGGACGACGAAACCAACTTCTTTATAGTTCAATCCGCAAAATTTTTAGAGCAACATGCTGGTCTAGAGAACTGTTAGCTACAAATATTCGAGAAAAGTCGTCATTAGAAACTTGCCGGTACTTCGGAAGCACAAACTAGGAATTCTACAAAAGAACGACATCACTCTGAACCTCATCTGCGGAAGCTGCGCCTTTTTTACAGCCCGGATTGAAAAGTGGACGACACATGTCAAGGACTAGAGCACTGACCACTATTAAAAAAAGTCATATGATAATTTACTTTTACATAAATGCTATTGCACATCAACAACAAGTGAGAAGTGGGTTAGGCATGGCTTTATATTCGGAAAGACACGCTTCATAAGTAGTGAAAACTGTAAAAACAGAAAGAGTAGTTGTAATCAACTATGTAATCAACTATTTCTTGCGATTTGGAAAGAATTCCTCCGATACAACGATGAAAATTTCCGAACTCAAATAAAAATAGCATGACTTACTCCACTGAATCGGCCTTCATTGTTCTGGGTTCGCTTCATTTGTTCAGGAGTCAAATTTTCTTTTTTCCATTCGTATGAGCCTTTACGATGCTCCTAAAATAGACAAAATTCGAATAGGTGCTTTATCAAAACAATCTCAGATGAAAATATGAGTTCGTCCAAAAACGGTATCGTACCTGCTTTCCTTCATGATCTCCAGCAGCAGCCATGAAAACTTTTCGGAAGAAGCCCATCTGAATAGCTAATTTGTCTGCATTAAGCACAAACAATTCGAAAACAACTTCAAAACGATTCAAATAATGATGGCTGCTGTACCATCGATAAGCTAATGAACCATTGTAATCAAAGGTTCATCTTCTGTGCCTGCACTTGTACAGCACCTTGAAAACGTTCCCAAAATGGACTAAGAATCACATCGAGACTATACAACCCAAAGAAATATAATTTACAGATTGCAAAAAAAANAAAAAAAATCTGTACATAGACTAAAACCGACTAAGAAATTGGCACATAGAAATAGTTAAATTCACAAGAGATTAGTCGCAAGTATCCTCAAAATGGTCAAAATAGCTCATGCTATAACAACCAAATGTAGTATTGAATTGTTCAATATGTTTTGCAAATGAACTGCCATCATCGCCGTCACCACTACCACGATGGATAACTCCAAAACGTGAAGGGTGCCTAGACAAAGATTACAATACATGCAAATAACTCTTACGTGGTTAAATTAGAAGCAGATCACAATTGTTTCACGATGACTCCGGCATCTCGATCGCGAGCAATTCTTTCGGCATTTTTCGCTTCGATATTATAGAATAAGACAAAGAAACAAACAACAGCCACAGCTATGAAGACGACCCGCATTCTATCGTGCATACGGTTCATCGTCCCACCCCTAAAATACTGAATTCTCACTTTGGAGCACTGCGCCTGTTGACAAAAGAAAAACAAAATATCGAGACATCGTTATTCGACGAAAGTTCAGAGCAACACTCATCCTATAGTTTCTCACAAACGTATCCATGTCTCAAGACCCTAATATGGGGCTATATGATGTTCGTCCCTAAGTACTTCAGAACACAAGGGACTATAAAGTTACGGCGCGAAAGTACTAGAAGTGATGAAGATAAAATAACGAAAAGTTTGTTGCAGTATTGAATATTTTACTGAATGAATATTTTACTTGAAATAAACTGCTGAAGTAATGAGGCAAGTTTGGAAGACGAAGAGAGAAGAAAGTAGAAGACCAGTACTCGGAAGGTCATGCCCTCCTTGAACCTATTGATTGTAGAGTGCGCGAACTGAGGAAACTCAGTGAAAAGATGAGCTTGCGATTGGCCCGAACGCAATCCAGGCAACCCGATGAACCTGCTACAGAAAAACTGCTCGTCATATTTACAAAACAGTCATGGTGTGAACACCTTGAGAGGACCTTTAACATATGTAAAGGTATGAGGTGGACTGATGCCAATTTAGACTAGCATTGCACAGATTAGGTTTCTTTGATGTTTTAGAATGATTTGCAGAACATTATAGAATTTACAGAACAAATTTACTTACGAGACGTATTGAGGTATATCACTTTTCGATTTGTACAGCCCAGTGATTACCAAGCAGAATTTCTGCCAATTTGTTGGGATAAGACCAGTTTCTGAAACAATGCGAAAGAATCAGATTTTATGTGATATTTCACCACAATGTATAAAAAATTAACAGATTGGAGCAAAAAAAGTTCAAAAGAAGGGCCTACCAGCATCAGCTCCACGGACTCTCTGTGATGCCATTTGCTGATCGTACGAACTTTTTGTGGCATGACCACCACTCGCGGTCACTGATGTCTGACTCGGCTTCTTAAAGAAAGAGTATAAATGTGGGATTGAAACGAGCGGCATTAGTTCCTAATCAAGAAAAACTCTTTTCGCATTGATACACATCCTTCCTCTTCGCTAAGGTTCTGCTGCTTTCTGAGAACGTCTGTTCGTTGGATTATGCTAAAAATCACAACACGGTTGAGTGGGGACGTTAGCTCACAACCGTACGAAGGTGATGCTATTATTAAAGCAATCGCTTGAAGCGAGGCACGATGATAGAGGATTTTAAGAAAAGGGCTACGGCTAATCGGTACTGCCTTATAACAGCAAATAGCGGTTCAATTCAATCTGTTCTTTTCAACAAATCGCCCCAACCATAAAGAAAGTATTTAAAAAACGATTCCCCATCTACACAAACTGATTCTCTGATATATGACATCTCTTAACAATCATCCACAGCATTTCTTTCCTACACACCTACACACCGAAGTTTTGGAGAAACAGAAAAACCTGTGCGGATCGGTCCCAGCTCACCATATGCGCCTTTACGAAGGACGACCATGGAAACTGAGCTGAACGCGCAAAAAAGACAAAGAACTACTTAATATAAAGGAATGTGTAAAGGAACTCACTCTGACGGATCTATAAGCATCAGATATTCGGTCAGAATAGGATCTCTTGATGGATGCTAGGAGCGGACGACGATAAAAACTGATCAGCACTGAGCGTTCTACCAATGTTAACATCCTGAAAGTTTTTGAGTTTCGTGAAGATATAGTTAAATTGTTATGTATACACAAGGAAAACTGTTGCACTAGTTAGTACATTCATACTTTGTGATGGCCAAGCGACGAGCGATGGGACGAGAGGGCGACGGCGTCGATCGATACATTACTTGATCGATAAGTTATGCGATTCAGGGTGAAAGTGAACGCCTACAAGACTCTGCTCAGCTACGGTCTTTTTTCGCATATCTTCGAGCTCCGTTCCAGTTACTTCAACAATACCGAAACACCATGAGAATCGCAGACTGCTCAAGAACGTTGCAACGTCGTAAGTAGCCAAAAAGAAAACAAACAAGCAAGCATTCTGAGAAAAACGATGTCGTGTTAAAGTCGCACTGTGAGCAATCTCTCTGTATATGAAGTGATAACTTTGTGTGTTTGATTGCGGGTCGGTTTGTGCGTCCTTCCTAAAGTCACGTAGGCACGATGAAGAGTGTGAATGTCACGTGAGCACGGTGAGGAAGCAGTTATGAAGTAGAAAGTGGACCGATACTGTTTATATTGGTCCTCTTTCAAATCGTAAGTAAGCAGTAGTGGGCAGCTATTTACAAATTTTTTGTTGACCAGTTGGTAGCCGAACTGTTCAACACAAAATTTGTAAATAACTCATATATGGTAACGAGGGCGAAACACGTACGTTTTAAACTTTTAAAATCATCAAGTAGTAGCAAGAACGCATGGATTATGGATCAAGCGGTATAGACAGACGTTGCCAGTCGCTCGAAGCCAAAATCGCTCGCCGCAGATGGGCCATTAGTCGTCATTAACTATAAATACGCTCGGAGGCTTCCCTAGGATTTCACTACAAGTTCAAGAAGTCTATCAGCACCGAAACCATAATACAAAAGTAAATCGACGTTTCAAGAAACCTGCGAAACGAACAGTGACCGATATAACAAGTTGTTGAACATAATATAAGAAATGCTGCGGTGAAACTCGAGTTGGGAGGCCATCCTACTGCGCCCTTCATCTCTAGCGTTTAGTGCAAGAGCGCAGAGAGACGAGCGAGAGCGAAAGTACAACCTTATGATTGTACGAAGAAAGAACTTTGGCCTGTGAAAATCAATGTTTTTCCCTGCGGTCGAAAAAGAAGGAGCATCAGTGCTACTGACAGACTAACCTATTGAGATAAGTTGATAGGGAAGAGGTATTAATCACCAGGACACTCTCCCGGCGAGAGCGAGAGCTAAGACAACGACGAGAAAGCGTATACTCTCATTCCAGCATCTTCAGCAATATAATCTGAGGCTGTGAATGACTCCTCAGTGGGTGATGATCTCCCAGACGGGAAGCTTGAACTGAAAACTTCGCGAACCGGATTGAAAAGCCGCTTATTTCTGATACATAGAGTGTAATGGGCAGTGGGTAAGGATGAGAAGCTGTCCACCTTGCTTGAATGGCTGTTGACCAAATAATCGAGCACCATGGGCAAAAAACTGTACTAGGCAACCTATTCCTTACGCGGGAAGCGTCGCGGGAAAACATCTCAAATAATTGTGCAGTTGCACAATAAGCAGGGCTACCGTAACTTTACGGCTAAGTTTTTTTCACTTGTGAGCGGAATAGGTTCACTAGCCGTGCCGAAGTAGACAATGTAAGCATTGACATTTAATGAATGAGTCAATCAAATATACATGATCCGCTTAACAGATAGATGAGCTGAAGTAGAGCAGGTACAGCACTAGTGCCGCAGAAAGTCTTCGGTTGGAACGGGTGGTTTGGGAGTTTAACGACGTGGCGACCGTCCGACCGACCGACCGCGTTGCTCACTACCTGTTGACAGCGCAAGTCGGTCGGTCGGCTCATCGTTGAACTCTGAAAGCAGCCGGTAAAGCAGTGCACTTCGTTGAACTCTGAACGCACCCATCAATGAGATAAGCATTTTTCTAAGTCTGTTTTCTGAGTCGTGAGGAATATGAGGTAAACTTTTTGTATAAATGTATTCGGGAAAGCCTATATAATGAAAGAGTACTTGAATAATAATAATAAGAGTACTCAACAACGAACATAAGATGCAACGTAAACATGGAGGAGAATACATTCAAGAGGTTTTGCTAAATAGCGAGGAATTGGAAATTCTCATGTTTGCCTATATACTTGAGAATTGCACGTATAGAGAAATGTAATTGGTCATTAGAGTGGGCAATATTTGGGCTAGATTGAATGATATTGAGAAGGGGAACCTACGATTTTATCAACCGCTCCCCTTCCCAATTGCCACTGGATCTACACAAGGAAACTGTTGGTAACCAAATAACTTGTTGTAGCACTCGTTGTTGAGCTAATTCGGGAGACTTCTTTTTCCAAACTCTTAGACTGCCAAACAAGACTGCATAATTGAATTCGATTTCTTCTTCGGTCTTTTTTATTGTGTTGAATAGGACTAGCAAAGCCCGTCTAACCTAGGCAGGCTCTCAGCGAGCATAAGAAATTAACAGAGGAAGGAGATCAGCTGGCTCAACAAGTATGAGAAGTATTCCTCATCAATAAAGAAAAATTTCGATAACTACATCCCTAAGTGTATGAGCCGTAAAGGAGGTATTCGTAGTGACGCAGTACATTAGGCTTTGTTCAAATACCGTTCTTGTGGTAGGTGATATTATGATGTTTCTGAGCTCTTACTGTTTGTGAAAATGAATATCACCAGTCAGATGGCTGTAATCACCAAGACATGAACTTTGCGGAAGTTGAAGAGCGAGGAAAAAGGCCGTTCACCTGTCAAGATGACATTGGAAGCATATCTTCCTGCGGTTATGTGTGAAATTTCTCATCATTTTTTTTTTTTGACTGCACATTTATGGACGAAGTCAAAAACAGTTTCGAGTAAAGAAATGCAGTTTAAGCGATTAAGAGCCGGGTTGGATTTGTGTGCCATGTAAGAGAAGCATCGGACAAAATATTGAGTAGTTCCACTAATCGTACCGTTTAAGATCTATTTAACGATAGAGTAGATGAAGTTCCTACCCAGGAAGTCGGAAGTGGCTGCCTTCATAATGTGCAAAGTGCTAATTGCGTCCCACCCTGTGTCACCTTAAAATTATCATAGGCGTTACTGCGGTAAACGGAACAGTGTTTTATTTTATGCCAAGCGCTTCCGTTTTGAGACGTTCCGACTCATTTGAAACGTTTTGCTTTTCCGTTTGTAGCCTATTCAACGCTAGCACAAGGCGCTGACTGTGAATGACCTAAAACCGCCTTAGTTGTGGTAATTTCAGGTAGCGGTAGAATAATCACGTTAGTTGCTGGAATATAATAAATAGTAAACAGCAACTAATACACAAATACATAATTATTTTAAATTACCTCAGAGGAATCCCAACAAAACACCAGTGAATATCATGCTATTAATAAAATTCGACGAAGTTGAAATAGCTAGATTTTGCAATGCGCCATATGACCACGAAACACTTTTACAGATCTTCTCGTTGAACTCCTAAAAAAGAGGGGCGGTTTGCGCGCAGTGGTTCCCGATGTTACTCACTACTCTCGAAATTAGTCGCTATCCAAATAACTACTTGTGGGGGAGCGAGCAGTGATGTTATGAGTCTACGATTCCGGTCTTTGATTTGAAAAAAAGCGTAATATGAACACCGAACAACATCAAGACTAAACGAAATGCAGTTTACTTATTCTGTAATAAAATCTGAATGTTAAGTAACGCCAGACAAAAAAGTAACAAACACTAAAAACTAACAACCAACAAGCGATTAGAAGTGGTGTGAAGGCTGCAAATGATAGAAATAACGAGTACTGTGAGACTCAAACCAAACGTTGGAGCTGTTCGATAAGGCTCGTTAATGAAGTGCTATCACTGCCATCGCTACAACCGCGAAGGATACTTCGAAGAGATGAAGACGTAGACGAAAACACTACAATACAAGTGAACAAAATAACATTTGGGCAAGTATGAGGGGGATCACATATGCTTGACGATTTTTCCGGCCTGACGATCGCGAGCAACTTTCTTGACATTCGCATAGTGTGAGTAGTAGAACAAAGCAAAGAAACAAGCAACAGCTACTACTATGAAGACGACACGCATTCTATCGTGCATACGGTTCATCGTTCCACCTCTGAAACATGGAGTGCTCAGTTAAAGGCACTGAACCTAGTGTCAAATAATGGAATGCCGAGCCTCAATGCAGAGCTCTGTAATTAATCCACTTCACTGGTTGAAGAAACTTTTCTTACATCTGCTACCCTCAACTGAGCAAATGTTTGTTCTCATAAAAAAACATCACGTAAGCTGCTCAATTGACATGCAAGGAAATTGCTCAAGCGAGCTGAGATAATCCTATCACCTTTCGTTCACCCTGACAAGCTATCGAAGTGATGAGGCGCGATTCTGGAGCCAGAGGCGAAGCTCGAAAAGTCCCAATGAAGCTCGCGATGACTGCCACTAGCGCTGAGATAATGCCATTTTGAGAAGGGAGGTGTGGTAATAACCATTAAGTAGTCCAAAAAGCATTTCATCAAAATGAAAAATAAATGCAATGATTGATGCTCGTGTCATTTGCCTAGGAAATGTGCAACCAGCAGTATAACAGTACAAAACAAGTTGAGCGCTTTTCTGTTTATACTTACGCCTGCGGCAAATTCGCTCCGGTTGAAAATGAAAATGCAAATAAGCTGAAAAACGTGAAAAAGCATTTATTCGGGCAGACAGGCATACTCTACCCTTCTCAGCCCTGCTTACAAGATGAACTCATTCGATTATTAGCGCTCCCTCACCATCCTTGTTTGGAAGTTGCTCATTTTGGTAAACGGAAATCCTACAGCACAACAAAGATGTTACCAAATTAAGCTGTAGCATCTGTGAGCCTTTCAAGACCACGTGGAAGTAATTGTAGTTGCTAACACTGCGCAAAACGCGCACTCTTAAGAAACGGCTTTTGATTGGATGATCTCTTTTCTTATCAAAACGAATTTGTGACCAGTTTGTGACTGCAGTTCTTAATTTTCATTATAACTGCTACAATACTAACTTATCTGCAGCGCTTATAAGGAATCCGGGCGCGATATGCTGCAAACAGTTCTAAGAGTAAATGTGTTCGATAAAGCGGGGCGATGGTACAGGGACATCGCACAGCTTAGATTTTGTTGATTGCTGGGTTGTTGCATAACATATACAGAAGTAATTTACTCACGAAACGTATTGTGGGATGTCACCCATCGTGTTGTACAGTCTTGTGATCACCAGACAGCGTTTCTGCCAGCTTGTTGGAATTACGCCGGTTTCTGTAATACTATTTATTTGTCCAATCGACTGATATTGCACATGCAGCTATTGAAAGCTAGAGAGAATTAATATCCTGAAGAGAAACGAAATAGTAAAAGACCTTACCAGCATCTGCGCCACGGACCCTCTGTGAGGAGATTTGTTGATCGTAAGAAAACTTTGTAGCGTGATCACTTCCTTCCATTGCAGGCTGAGCTTGCCCCTTCAAAAAAGAACTACTTTATGTGTTCAAACTTATTCCCAGCTGCTAAGCAGTCAATAACTAGCTTGGGAGACACGTCTTAACTGAAGCATTTGCCTCCACTCATTTGTCATAGAAAATGAGGGCCTATAAAGAGGCATTCCGTTTCTAAAACCTGCACACAACAGAGCTTGTTTTCTTCTACAAGCAGTAAAGATTCATCTACGGAAGCTGACTTAGGTGCTTCAAACTACAAAATTAAACAAAATGAAAATCCTTACCCCAATGCCGCTAAAAGCTTGAGAGATTTTGGAGAGTCTGCTGGAATAGCACCTGCTTGAAGACGACACAAACGTCCGACAGAAACCATTCAATGATGAACACTTTAACAGAGCCAACATTCTGAAAGTTTGATTAAGAATTCACAAGGAAGTTATCAAGACTTTGTGGGTACAAACTTCAACGATACTCAGTCACTCAGTATTTTTTCACCCACTCCCATTAATTGGTTTAGTTCTCAAATGTTTTGGTAACTACACAAGGCCAACAACGATTGTACAAAGAGACATAAAAATTTTATTATTATAAGTGTAATTTGTGAAAAATTTGTCGCTACTTATTTCATTCACATTCCTTTTTGAAAAATTCATATGAAAACGAAGAAAGAAAGTTCACATTTGTACTCAATTAACGAAAAAGTGGCCCTTGACGGGGACATTTAGAACTCTCATTCAGGTAAGTGGCTCTTAATGGGTCGGTTCCGATTCGCTTAAGTGGTTCCAAACGTTACTGACGTATTTTTGATTCAAATAAAGGGGAACATTGATTAAATTATACCGATAACATTTGCCCAAAATTGAAAAAACAGTAATTCAAAGGGGCAAGAGAACCAGATGATCCCCACGTTGATTAGGAGAGAGTTTTTTGTGGGCAGATTCGTGAATACGGTATCCGTCAGCCGGTTCCCTGCTCCGTTCACAGCCGTGGAAGGTTGGAGCGCAGCGAAATGGGGGACGGTACGAACGTGCGTCCGAGGGTGCGCGCGGCAAATTGCGCGGCGAAGTTCGTGACTGTTTGTACGACTGCGGCGCCAAGTTTCGGGGCACAAACTCAAAGTTGAGTAGTTTAGAAGGGTCAGATAATCCTTCTAATCTATTCTACTTCGAATTTAGGCCCCAATGATAGGCGCCAAAGTCGTTCAAGTCATTACGAACTTCGCCGCGCAATTTGCCGCGCGCATCCTCGGACGCACGTTCGTACACATACCCCAGCGAAATAGAGAACTGGGATATTTCGTGATTAGATGGCTTTCTGCAAAATAAACAGTTGTGGAGATTAGATTGTATTGGATCAAATGTTCCTAGTATAGGGATGACAGAGAATGGCCCTCTATCGCAGCCATTAAAAACAGGGTCGATCAAAGGCTTGGTCAAGGCCAATGGGGGTTCCTTGGGAATTATTTTCAAAATAAATAGATTCACCATGAAATGATAACTGATGTAATCAGCATGGAAGAGTAGCCGAGGGTGAGGAAACGGAAAAAACGGATCTCTCTGGTGGAAAAGGAGATTCAGTACGGGCACTCAGCTCTTACATTAATCTGGCTACTGGTCCTGGCCCGAACGGTGCACGGTACAGTACCAATCCCTTGGCTTCCTCACCACATGCTCCGCGTTCTCGCCCAAGGTTCCTTTTCGCTGCTTCGTACACGTGACGGGTAAGATTTGTAGATTCAAATATAAACATGCTATGAAAGGAATTATGTTGTATGTGAAATTCTGCATCCAACATCTTATTTCACCTAAGATCACTGTCAGAGCCGAGTGCTTGGGGGTGAGGCCTGATATCCTCCTTCACAACGCGCGATCGCGTGCGGCGAGCACGACAAGCCGTTCGGGGAGAAGACTCCATCGGATCGCCAACAATCTTGCCCCTTTTCCCTCCTGCCCTTATACCATGGATGGTGTTACCATTTCCCGAGTAAACCTTGTAAGGGATCTGACTTTCTCTACACCAAAGTTCTCGACTTTTCTACGCACATTCGCGCTCGGTGTAAGCTAGCATTACTGCGCACGTCGCACATTTTCAAGGGACTGTCTACCGCGAACAAGTCAATCCTTCTCAAAGCTTATAAGACATATGTTTGTCCTCTGGTTGAGAGTGGTGCCACAGTGTTCCGTCCCAATCGGAGGAAGGACGTCATTGCCCTTGAAAAAGTTCAAAATAACTTCACGCGTAAAATACTTTTCCGTTGTTGATGCTTCTTCTATTCTGGTATTCCAAGAGCCTCCATTCGTAACAGATATCTTGAACTGTCAACATTGGAATCGCGGCGTAAGGTGTTTGATGTGTGCATGGTTCACAAACTTCTGTACCAACGTAATGATTTTGGCGTCTTTGACGTTTATAACAAAACGCATTCTCGGACGAGAGGTGGGCAGACTAAAATTATTGTTCCGAGGCCTAGAACCAATTTAGGAGCCACGAGCTTCACCTTCAGAGCTGGTAGTCGTACTTAAAAGTAACAAAAAATCTGATCGTCGTCGAAGCTTTGAATAGGTTCAAGCGTAAAATGGCAGCGGTTCTAACCAAGTATAAGCTTTCCTAGTTTTCTGAGTTGATCAATGATTCCATACTTGTGTCTTTGTCTAATATCTGGGTTGATGTTGCACTATATGTTGTGCGGTTTTCGTCTTAGTTTGCTTGTCTACTGCTTTTATCTCTGTTTCGCATGGTCTATTATGTCGATTTTAGAAGATTGTCTTTTATAGCGTTTGCCTTAGCAGCGTAACAAACATAATATAACATAACACCAGGCCCAAATCCTTCACCCCGTAGGGGTGCGCATCATTCCGCGTGTCCGTCGAGACTAGGTCACGCCGCGGCCGTCGCACGCGGCGCGTCAGCCGAAGATGACAGCCAAAGATAACGCGGTCCAAATCAAAATACCCTATCCACTGACACTTATTAGTGGTACTGTAATGCCATCTCGAGGTCGTAGAGGGGTACGCCGCGCGTGGCGTAGCTCCCTTGCGGCACGCGGCAAATGTCACTGCAATTGCCGTACTCANTATTTTTCGTTGGTTGCCTTTCTTCTTTATTGGTTTTTATCGTTTTTTATCTTTCTTTTTCTTGTTTTTATGTTTATTAGACTTGTTTAACTAGAATGACTCCTCCTATATTAGCGACGATCAAGATCGCATTGAAATTGAAGTGAGCGGCCAGCCAATTCAAATGATTAGAGGACTCCCTACCTCACAAATTGCGCGCTCCAATCTTCCATCGCAATACTGCGATACGCGGCGAGTGCGGCGTGCGCAACGCCGTCTTCGGAGAAAGGTTCCCGGCCCCTGGATTAGGTGTTGACATCGTGCAGGAATTAGCAATGATATAGAACGGAGCAGAATTGGTTTGAGTCGTGTTAAGCCGAAGGAAAAATTTGACGAATGATTGGTGGATTGTGGGCCACTGTTGGAGGAGCAGCGCTGTCCGAAATGCGGAGATCCATTCAGGTTCACGAAGCAAGGCAATTCATTGCCTCGTTTTACGCAGCTCGGACTGCGTAAAACGAAGCAATGAATTCCGGAGTCGGCCACTGCATTTGGTTCGACTTTTGCAGGACATCGACGGGAGATGAGTTTTGCCACATCGCAGAATGGATGGAAGTCCGTGGACGTAATTAAAGGTGATTTATCCAGCTCAAGATTGCCTCAATGTTAA